AATACCTTGGTTAATTGTTGTTATGACTCAATTTTCATTTTTCATTTAGGTACATAAAGTTAGTACGTTATAATATAAGATGTAAGAATAATATAAAAAGTACTCGTATATATTATAATGGTCAAAATTGATTGTTCCRTCACAGCATGAAAATGTTTTAAAACATAATTTTGAAATATGTATTGAGGAAGTTACTATTTTTTTCCAGTTATTTGATTATTTACAATTAATAATTTTTTCAAACAATTGCAAATTCAATTTCTTAAAGCTATTATGACAATGAAAAATATGTGCTTGGGTATCAAGCTTCATTTATGCCTAAATTTCAAAGGTAATCAATGATTACTATAATAAAGCCACTTATTTTTCCGTAATAATAGAAGTAGGAAACTTAAAAAAGATAAATCGCCAATTTATAATTAGAACAATCTATCAAAGTAATTAGTATTAAGTGTGTCATGATTTTTAATATCCCTACCATAGAATTTCTGTATAGGTAAATTTACCTTTTTCACTTTATCTGGTTAGAAACGAACAATTGTGTTGACCTTTTGTTTGCATTAAAACCTTTATCAATGGAACTTCGTGCCATACTCTATATCAAATATTATACTTATTAGATAGTAATAGTTATTTAATATATATTATAATATTATAATTACATCGGTGAACCGCACCGCCTATTGCAGTATAATTTGAATGACCGACGTGTTGACCGGTAAAATTTCGGAAACACAATCCAGTAGCATTTCGTACAAATTATTAATAATCACACACGCGTGCCAAGGAAATATGTCAGATACGTGCAATTCTTATAAATAATAAAAAATTGTTGATTATTTTGTTGTTTTAATATTTTATAATAAAATGGTATACTTCGGCTTGTTAAACACTGCACAACGGCGTTACACTACAACCGCGTGAGAACTAAGCCCGAAGAGCAATATATATTCACTTCTTTGGAATTCACCAGTCGATACTTTATAAGTTTCCGGCTCAGTAAGTTACTTTGTTTGAAATTACATTACATTATTACAATCACATAATGTAGAAACAGTCTCGTTTATTAAACGCARGAAATTTTTTGAAAAAAATCCTACAATAAAAATTTTAATTTCCAATGTTTTTCTGAGTGTTAACGTTAAGTAAATATATTTTTGTAAATTGTTGTTTCTCCCGTTATAAGCTAGTCTGGGGAGAAATAAACCAACTATTAATAACATGATTMAGGTAAAACGAGGAAGGTCACTTTGGATTAAACGGAACACACCTTCAAAGACGACTGGGTGGCAATTGTCTGTTTACACTAAAATTCTATCATATATATTTTTTTAACTATAGTTTATGTGCTATGGTCAGGTTATTAGTTATGTTACTAATTAGATTATTAAAAGTTGAAAGATTAATTTAAAAATAAAGATAAGGTTGTTATACTTTCAAAAAACAAATATTTCTTTTTTTAAATGTAATCTATTATTTGCATACACTTAGATTGTAATTTGCATGTTTTTTGATTCGGTTAGGTTCATCTGTCCACTAGTAAAACCTTCAGAAATTTATATTAAATTTATAAAATTAACCTATAAATGTATCAACATTTTAATAAGAAAACGTGTATCTAWGTACTGGCCGAGACAATAATTTTTACATCCTAAGAAAACATTTATTTACTGAATAGCGAATAGTATTTTTTAAATATTAATTTGAATTTTATGTTTTTATTTTTATCATTTAATACTAATTTCTGATTGTATTTGCTTTATATGTCTATAATCTATATATGATATTTGAAACCTAAATACAAATATGTTTGGTATGTCTATATAATAGTGACTCAAATGTGAAAATGTTAGGGAACATTTTGGTGGTTTTTTTATAGAAGTTGGTAAATTAAAACACTCTTTTTAAAATGATTTGTTTGTTTTAAATATAAATAAATAATTACTTGCCAGTTGTCACGTGATTGATTTTTTTCTAAAGGTATTTATTGTTCCTGTAATCTGTACATATTGGCCCAATTAATATTTTATTTTGACAAGCTGTTTAGCTGTTGGACCTACAAAACAACTGAAATAAYCGCCCCCGATTTAACGAATTACGATAGCTATATAATTTACTATGAACATTTTGCATTAGTAGATGCACTAGAGAATTTACTGTCAACTTGAAAAATCCATATTTTTTGGGAGGGCGCAAAGTCTCTAAGGAGCATCGATTTTTATTGAAATAAAAGTTTGAAGATTTATCAAATAAATTGGTATTTAAAACTGCCTTTGTCTGTAGGTGACCTTTACAAAGTTTAC